ATTGTATATGCATGATTACTAATTTAAAATTGTATCATTTTCTGTTTTGATTATATATGCATGATTACTAATTTAGAATTGTGTCATTTTCTGTTTTGATTCAGGCCATCCTCTTAAAAAAAGGAAAAAAATACGGTTAAAAGATCAACTTTGGCGATAGCTGCCTCCGCGGGATGTACGAGGGCACGAGAATGGAACCTGCGGAATCAATTTTCACGCGATCAGAGCTTTCGATTTTAATCGGTCGTTTGATCCTCGATCGAGCAATATTTTCCTCATAAATGGCAAGCGTGGCGAATCCGGTTGCCGACTCCGGTAGGGCTCGTAATAAAGCGAGGGCCAATAAATAACGCGGTGGCGGCTGTAACGGGGTGGCCGAGCAGGGAGCATGGCCAATCGCCACCACTCGCTCGTTGCCGTATCCCGAATGGATCGAGAGCGTATCGAGAGCGAATACATCGTCGGTCTAGTATTGTGATCCGGCCGAACGATTATCGCGGACGCGCGGACAACTGTGGGAATTAATTCGGCGAAATCGATGTCGCTGGGAAACCGGCCCGCTCCCGTTCATAATCGTTTCGGAATCGCATCAGGTCGAGCAGGTGGAGGGGATGCGCAAGTATCCGAAATTTCCGGGGTCCGATTAGTCCGGGTATTCGTTTCGGATCTCTCGCGTCAATTGAGTTGAAAATTTTCCGAATAGTTCCCGCATTTTTTTCCCTGCTCGCAAACTCGAAAGTCTGTTTCTCGAACGGTATCTCTTTCTCTTCTTCCAGTTGGAACGTTCGAAAGTTTCGCTCTGCTCCTCCCCAAAAAAAGGCCAAGAAGTTTACAAAACAACCGTAACGAATAATCGCGTTTATGCAACTTTCTTCGAAGCTATTATGAGTCGACGAGATCGTTATAGCGTAAAAAAGCGAGAAGAGTTGCACGATTGTCTGTTGAGAATAGCTAGTTTAGAAAAAAAATGTTACTGTTAAATTTAGTGCTTAGAAGAATACATAAACACGTTGAAGAAACTAAATTATTGAAAAACCAACACCAATATCTATTTTTAGCATCAGGATTCTCGATAATCTTGCAACTAGACACAAATTCATTCTCGTTAAAAATATCGCTCAATATTCCGTCAGAAATATCTTTTTTAAAGAAAATTTAAAGAAGCTTTATTGAATAATGTCATTTTGCTAAATATAAGTAAATAAGTTTGAATTGCTCGGTGTTTTGTCTTTGAAAGAAACTGAAAATGCCCGCATTTAATTCATACATATATATCTTACCATGTCTGGAATGTGATAGTGACTAATATTAATATTAATATTAATTAAGCGCGATAACGACAGAATTTAGATCGTCTGCGAAAAAAGGGGATAAAAATCGTAAAATTAATATTTAATATTAATATTAATGCTAATTAATATTAATATTAAATATTTTTTCGCAGCGACAATCTAAATTCTATCGTTATCGCAATAGCACCACGAACCGTGTACGTTTATTAGCGGTAAGCTGAAGCAATATTGTAACAAGATTGTTAGAAATATGTCAACCAAATGAGATTTTATAGTTCCATAGATAAGATAAGGGTTGCGAACGCGACAGATTGTGATGCTGCAGTACGCTTGACAGATTGTTCTCGAGGGTTGGGGCTAAAACGAAAGAAAATTTCTCCCTCGTAAATAAGAATGCGACTTGCTAGTTACAATTTGTACATAGTTGGAAATTTTCTTGAACCGCGATAAAAATAATTTCACAACCTGAAACTTTATCATTTGGTAAATTTCATTTTTTGTTACTTTTTCAGTTTTATTTTTAATTTATTTCTCAAAGTGCTGTATATTTCTAATCATTTAACATGTAATATAATTTTTATTGTATATCGCTTGCCTATGATGCACCAATTATTGCTTGGGAATGGTCAACCGCAAGAAGTCTTCCAAGGGCATCGCTTTGGATAACGATGATCTAGTTTTCAAGCAGATGCGAACTATAAAATGTGGGGGAAAAATGATCGAAGCGGACTGTCTTTGTTTTTTTTTCAGCCAGTGTAATAAACACGAACGAAAGAGTAAGGTAATCGCGCCTGTCAAACACGAGCTTTAAAAAAATCGAATAACAGCATCTATACCGCGCTAATAGCTACCTGCTTCTAACTATTTGTCGTTTCGAAAGGGTTTTATGACTCAAGCTTTTTAACTATACAAAAAAAATATAACGCTTACATATTTTTCATTTTTCTTAGACAAATCCTAAATCTTCTTCTCAGTCGACTAAATCCTCTTTTTTCGGCGACCTTTTTTTATTCTTTTTCACTTTTGCGATGAATATAACTTGTCATTTTATTTTTATTAAGGTAAATTAGCGTGACGATTTTTCTCTCTCCTCTTTTTATCATATCACCGGTGGGAGTCGAATTTATGATACTTTGTTGTAACTATATCTGTTATAAGTGCAAGATATAAAATATAAATTTACAAGATTATGCTCAGTTGTGATATATGTTGCATTTTCTTATTTATATATGTTATTTACATAAATTTTCTACTTTAGATAATTTATGAAAACAATAAAAAAGTGCAGTGAAATAAAATTTCAGATTTTTATTCCTCATACGTTTCATTTCTTATTCGCAGACTGGTGATCTTTTCTGTTAATAAAAAAAATTGCAACAAGAGTTGATTACATGATTTCATTGTGCTTATATAGATTAAACCGACATTTGAATTTATCTCTTTGGCTATGCAAGGAGAATTCGTGTTGCGCATTCATACATATATATGTATATACTGGAATACGGGCGAATGACGTTTGTGAGCAAATGACTTCATTTCATCGCACCTTGATGGGTCGTTAAGCCGGTGTCGTTCATACGGAATTATCTCGTTCCATCGAAGTGTGACTGGTAAACGAGCCGAGTTATCCGGATGAATCACTCGTAGAGTTAATTGTTTTTACCGCACCCTATCCATCCCTGTTTGTATACACTCTCGCATACACATAATCATTCATGTAACCCCATCGGTAGGGATTCTCTGGAGAGAGAAATAGAAAAATCTCTTTTAAATACTTTATGTAATTGTACTCCCATACATAGCCGATTAAATATCTTATTCTAATTTCCAAAAATAGCATTGTGCAATTAAGTTGCCAATAATTAGTAATTTTAAACTCGATTATAAAAATTTTTCAAACTAATTTTCCTCGATAAAATACAGAAACTGAAGAAGAGATGATAAGAGAGGATAAAGGATAGAATTTATTATAATGTAGATGTTATATATATAACACATTTATATATATTTTATTTATCTCATTGTTTTATTTCTCCCTTATTTTTTCTTTTCACATTTTCCGTAGCTTACTATATAAGTTATAATTTTATATACAAATATTATACTTTTTTATATATGTATATATGCTAATATCTGACAATATTGGGCAAAATGTATTTGTAGATAATGAATAATAATTCGCTTATGTAATTGTAAATGTATTAATATATACTTTGCATACATATTTCTTTCATAAATACCTGTGTATGTATGTATGTATGTGTGTGTGTGTGTGTATGTAAATATATATATATATATATATATATATATATATATATATACACACATACACATATATACATATAATGTATACATTATGATACATTTACAGCCATATAATCGACACAGAAAACGTATCAATCAATATAAATATTATATCACACGGTACTTCGACATAAAGATTCGACTTTACAAGCATGCAGATTTTGAAGATACACATGCAATCGATCTGACACACAAGCTTATTCGAATGCTTTTTCTCTCATTGTTATATTACACTTACATTATATTATATTACACAGCTATTTTATGTGCTATATACAAAATATATAATACATTTATGTACAAATATACATTCATAACTTATTTTTCATTCACATTACATTTTGCTCAATAGTATTTTCTATAATAATAAGAATCTAATTTTCCGCGCATGAACTACAATTATTTCTTATCACTTTCTCCTTCATTCTGCCTATATTACACATTCTACTTGACTTTTTTGGTACTACTTACTAGATGTAACATATCATATGCCTTAACATTCATTAAGTGCATTTCAAATATAAAAGATACGTATCACATGTGTATTCACATGTGGTGTAATGCCTTGATTATTTAAGAAATAGAGAACATTGGACCTAAATGTATAACGTACAAAATATTTAAATCATTCGTCATCATACAAATCGTTCATCATATTTCGGATAATTGTTTGTTTTTATAAAATGTAATACTTGTCAAATATCAATTACAATTATCGAATGTCGTTTCCTCTTCTCTATAACATAAATCATGCGAATGTGTGTCTCGATAGATATCGTGCCACGATTTCTTTGGCGATATGAGATTTTTTACAATAAAACAGAGTCCTGCGCGGTAGCTTTTCATTTTCGAATTGTGAGCATTATCATTTACATGAAAAAAATAAAAAATAAGAGTACTTATATAAAATGAGGAATTATAAAAAATTTCGAAAATGTAAAAAAATGTGAAAACTCATCTAAAACTATATATTTACATTGTGTAAATGCAAAATAAGTGAGAAATAAAATGAATATTGAAAAATATATTAAATACAATAAAAAAAAAATTTTTTTATGTTATAAAATACAAAAAAAAATTTTTTTTTATATTTTAAATACATAATATATATTGAGCTATAATTATTAAGCTATAGTTTTTATTAAAGCTATAGTTTATCAATCCAAATATTTTATTTTACTAGTTTACTAATCCAAACTATTTATTTTATAATTAATTTCAAGCATAAACGTATTTACGATCAAAAATGCTGCGTAAGCGGAAAATAAAATCTGCTAGTATCTGTTAGTAAAATGGAAAGTAAAATCAAATATTCAAATATTCAAATTAGCTACATTTTTTAAATATTTTTTTTTATATATTTTTTTGCCTTTATATTTAATAACTCGAAACAACTACGTGGCAATTTTTCGATTTTATCATATCAACGTTTAAATCGGCATCGTCAAAATGATCGAAATCTTTTAAATACAGTCTCGAGATAAATCATAATAGAAATAAAAGTCAAAATAAAAAATATGTTCTGATCGATAAATAACATTCTCAGACACATAACTCTATTACAGCTGTATTAAAGATTCCGCGCATCAATGTGATGCATCGATTCGAAGGGGACTCGTTTAATAATTGTTAAGGCATTGAGTATTTACGACATCCACACGTATCTATCCAGCCATCCTAGCCAAAGGAAACAGCCTCGCAACTGGCAGTACAAAGTTAGCCCAAAGTAGGAGTTGCGGTACCCAATAGCGGGCAGACAACGCTAACAGCGAAAGCATTTCCTTAAGTCGAAATGTTTACTGCCCAGCGGGCGGTATTTAGAAAGGACTCTATGCGAAACGAACCAAAGATCAAGGCTATTCTCCCGTAAAACAGGGGGTGGTATCCCTGGCAGAGAGGGCAGAAAGGCGGAAGAAATAATATATCACGCGTCACAAGTGAAACAATTACTTCTTGTACGGCTGGAATAACTCGGGTTTATTCGTCGATGCCGATACGGGTGCCGCTACCGTCGTCGTCGTCGGCGTCGATATTGACGTCGACAGCGGCGAGGTCGTCGACAAGTTGTAGAGACCCTCGGAGATGAACGATATCGAAGCAGGTACGTTCATACCATTCAGTGCAGGCAGTTTGGTCGACTGTTCCGCTCCGATGACTCGGTCCCGCTGCGGCTGCACCGGGATTCCGCTCGTTACGTGGTGCGAGTGACGCGGCGAGTGATGCGAGTGGTGCGGGTGGACGACGTGCTGCGGCTGCGGCTGATTACCCGCGCAAGATTCGCACTCGCTGGAGGTGTCAGAGTTCACCGGGCTCAGCTCGGACGGCAGCAACGGCGGCCCGTACGTGATCGTAGTAGGGGGAGGATTGCTGACAGGGGGAAAGGCGTTGCTGCCAACGGTCGGCACGCCCAGGCCGAACTGCAAGGGCAGATGAGCCGGATGAGGATGCAGCACGTGCGAGTGCGCCGGATAAGGGGCGGCAGCGGCTCGCGGATGCGGTCGATGCAGGGCGCTTATCGAGGGATACGGCGAGTACCGCGCGTAGTACGTCGCGGCCGCGGATGCGTACGGGGTCGCCGAAGGGGCCAGATGCGCCGTCGCCGGTATACTCGGTATCGCGCTGTGATAGGGTGACAGGGCGCCGGAAGCCGCGGCGATCAATGTCGCGAACGCTGGATCCGAACACACGGTCAACGGCCACGTAAACGCCATCCGTTGCCTCTTGTCTTTCATACGTCTATTCTGAAACCACACCTGTAACGAGCGAAACGATATTGTAATTAACGTTAATTAAATTGATAACATTATCGTGTATATATTATAATATATGTAGATGTCAAATTATAATTTCGAAAATTGTTTTGAGTTTTAGATTTTATAATCCCTAATACTATCATATATATATATATATATATATATATATATATATATATATATATATGTCAAAAATTTAAGAGAAAAATGTATTATTCAAATATTCATTAGATGCTATTTATCAGAGTTTCGTAACTTTATTTCGAACTTTAGAAAACTTGTTATATAATTTTAATAAAAATATATAATAATACATATGATGATAAAATATATAATATATATAATATAAAATATATAATAATATATAATAATATATATAATAATAAAAATATATTTAGCTATATATGATGGCTTTAAAACATATATTTTTTTCTATGTATATGTATTTTCTATATATATATATATTTTATAATTTACTAAAAATATAAACTCAATTTTGCGGCGCGTTGACGTCGTGCGCAGGCTTTATTGTCTGAAGCAGAGGAATGAATGAGAAAGTAAAAGGTTTTTCAGGAAGGAATACAATGTAACACAATGAATCACACTTAACCTTGCCGAATATAAACAAGAAAAAACGTTTATTGTATAGATACATATTCGGTCTGTATATCGCGATCACGACAAGTACTACTAGCAATTATTTCTCATATAATTATTATCCCTCAGCAAATTATTAGCCCTCGTAATTAATCTATTCTCGCGATTGACAATTCGTAGAATCAATAATTACTTTTGTCAAGATAATTATTTCACGCGATTTATACGTAATTTCTATAAACAGACATCAAAACCATAAGGGATAGGTATTAAAAATTATCTTAGCACATGATATTTAATACCATCGTTATTTCTTTGATATTTAAATTCGAATATATTTTGCTTTATATTTTTTCACCGGCTTGAGACGTATAATATACCTATCATTTTCGGATTAAGAACGTGCAATGATATTTAAATCGTACATTCGAACTGATTTGAAATGCTCAATGAAAAGCCGTGATACATCATTATACATGTCGTATATTATTAATCTACTTGAAATTGAAAAAGAACACAAAAAGAAAATATTCCGATTTTGTAAAATATGTTACAATATTTTTCGTTACGATAATAAAACGTATTTGTCGTTCTTTGTGCCCTACTGTTTATGCGCGGTCATGTTGACATTCCACGAGAGTTGAAGGGTGGGGGGAAGGTTAGGGGGAGAGGTATGCTCATCGATTTTACACGTAATATCTCGCGAAACGCGATCGTCGTTACACCTGGCGGTTATCAATCTGCGCGATTAGTTATCTCTCAAGGTTTTCTCGCGTCTTTTTAACACATGTAATAAATAAATATATGATAAATATATGCAGTATACATTAAAATTGAAGATACACGCAGATGCGTTTAATATTGAAGAATATATATCATCGCTCCGTCGACTCTCGTTTCGCATCGTTTTGATTGATAGCCGCGTAAGCAGCGTGAAATACTTGTTTGATAAATAACCATTGTCTCGATACGGTTACGAGTCGTCAATCGCAAAACTTTATAATCACACGAAGCAATAATCTCTCCAATTAATTATTTATTTAATGAATATAATTTATGACGAATAAATTCGTTATCAATACGAATAACGTTGCGATTTTTCAGTGTGCCGATGAATCGTAACTTTAATAATGATTTTCGCGATTATCTGTGATTTAAAATAATGTGTGTGTCATATGTGCGATTTGAAAAATAAAGTAAAGTGTGGATAATTAATTGTTTTCCCGAATGAGTGCCACAAAGAAGCAACAAAGGATAAAGACGAGAGAAGGAAGAGACTCGGAGAGAAATCGAGCAACCCTGAGGTGAGCGATATTAATTTTGTTAAATTCTAATTTTGTTAACTCACTATTTGATCGATTTGATGAAGCAGCTATGTTATTTATTTCTACATTTATTTTTCTATATTTTTGTATTGCTTGAAAGTTATACACGGGGTGTCTTAAAATACTATAGCAAGAAAGTTTTTTCGAAAAATTTAATAAAACTATTTGAAATTTTTTAATGCAGACAGTTTTAAAATTTAATGTTGTTTAAAATCATAGACTATATATGTATATATACATTATTTTTTATGCATTGTGAAGGCTAATCGCCTCCAAGTATTTAATAAAAAGAAATAAATTTTAAAAATACTAAACATATAGCAAATAGTAAAAAAAAAACAACTGACAAATTTTGTTATTTAATTAAATAATAAATTAAATAATTAAATGATTTTTTAGAATGAATAAATAAACAATGAGTACATAAATTATAAAAGATTAAAATATAGTTGTTACAAAACTTATACAAAATTAATTAATTTTAAGTATTTCGATCGTATATCTCATATTCGTTATATTAATATTTTTTAAAATAAATTATACTCTTATTATGTCTGCAATATATTAAAGGCGCATAATTTCTCGCTATGGTTATTTTATCTCGCGGACTTGGGGATACCACGTATTCTAAATAAGCATTCGGTCGTGTATTTATACAAATAAAGAATTCTCGGAGGCGGCGAACGATTATATCGATAATTCGTGCGGGACGTTTACCGTCGTTTAACACCTCGGCCATTCGCTCCTCCATTGCCCGCGCGTTTTACGGCCGACATCGCCGGCCGGCGAGCTAACGCGAGACGAGAAATTAAGAGATCCATTAATGTCTGAGGTGGGTCGCGAGGCAGTCGCTAATTGAGCCGTTTAACACTTTTGCTCGACCGGTCCTCCCCCTCCCTCCACCTCTCCCCTTCTCGCCCCGAACCGGCGAGATCAGTGCCGTAACTAAAACACAGTGATGTTCACCGACGCGTTAACGCAGCCCTTTCGCGCATCGCGTAAAAACTCTATTTCGGTCCGAACCTACCGCGTCCAAGGATGATCTCGGGGAATAGCTTTACTTACTTACGGCACTGCTGCATAAGAGCCACGATGCTGAATCGCTTTCCAAGCTATAATCGCCGATCAAACATGGCTACAGCTGGCCGCGGCAAGAAATAACCGGCAGCTCTCGGCTCGCGGACAAAAACGCTACTAATTGCTTCTATTAAGTGCTCGGTGTTAGGAGTCTCTATCTTTTAGTGGGTGCAGCAGCCGTGAGAAATTATATATGTAGAATATATAACAATTAATGAATTAATAACATTATATAACAATTAATGAATTAATAACAATTAGTAAAAATAATAGATTCAATATAATTTTAAATATAATTCGTGCATATAATTTCTCTCTTGCACACATTTTCTCTTATAAATTATGTATTTTTAAATTTGTTTTCTATTTATTTATAAATAAATAAGTTATATATCGTATAAGAAAATAAATAATGTGAAAAGGAGAGAGGGAGATAACTGTTATATGTATATTGAATTTATTAATTTGAAGATTTATAATTCGTTAATTGATCCAAGGATTTTCTTTAATGATTTCTCGAAGTTTCGATCAAACACGAAAGCGTTAATGGAAAGCGTTATTGCGTCGGCTATAGATGAAGTCATTGTTTGTTGAATTCTATACGTAAATATTAACTCATTTTCAATCAGAGACTCCCGGTATCGATCATAATACTCGACCTAATGTTTATCTAATACAAAGAGAGACCGCTCGAGCCTCAGATTGTCACAATCTAAATTTTTCGATATCTAATGTAAGCGAAATTTATTTATTGTCGGCAGCACAATAAAAGTCGTTATAATCGCGAAATTTGTAACTTTTTCAGAAAACTTTTCGCGAGAATACGTTCGAGATAACTCTCTCCAGTAGAATATTTGCATTTTTCAAAAATTTCCCTACCTTGATCGTAGATTCTGGTAGACTAAGCTGCGTAGCCAGTTCGCATCTTCTCGGTCGGCTTACGTAGTTTTCTCTGTTAAACTCTTTTTCCAAACGAGCTAATTGTTCCCTCGTAAAGGCGGTTCTGTATCTCCGGACTGTGTCCACAGGAGGATTTGGTGTTTGTTGCTGTTGTGATTGTTGTTGTTGATGATGCTGATGATTAGATTGCACGTGATGCTGTTGATCTTTATGCAAAATCGGCGATTCTGAATAAAACACAAAAGAACAAACAAACGTTATAATCTTTTTAAAAAAGACAATTTCGGTAATAAAAAAATATCTAACTAGAATTAAAACGCAATTAATAAATATTTATTTTATTTATTATTATTGCATTTAATAAATATTTATTATTATTATTTTAACAATGCTCGTAAAAATGTCAGATTATGTCTTATTAATGATGATATAGATAGTATCTAATAATATTAAATATTCAAAATATAAATGTACTCCATGATATTAATTCATTTAGTACACAATTTTATGTTTTTTATAAAATTCTTTTTTTAAAGCCGATTAACTTTATTCTATTGAAGGTTCAACTGATCCTATAAATACAGAAAAAGATTTTTAATCACTCTAAATTAATTTACATCAAAGAGATCTATACTAGTTTCTTTTCATGTCTCATTTCTTTGTCTTTTTACGTAAACGGAAATTTAGACACATAACAGTTGCGAGATATTTCCACAAGGAAGTTACTATTGTTCCTGTTTCTGAAAAACACGGGTCATGTCTTTTTTACAAAGAAAATATATTATAGAAACATTTAACAGTGGGTGATCGTATTTAAAGATCGCAACATTACAAAAGAAAAGTGTTCGTGGTCTATTCTACTACTGGCCTTTTCTAGTTTTCTTTTCGGCATGAAATCTTTTCGCGCGATTCTTTTCAGTCTGTGGTTTACAATATACAAACAAGTCGTCATCTCAAAACATAAAGGACGATGCGATAATTAAAATACTATAATTTTGACGTCAAGATTTTTAATGCCGCAAATATATACGAGGAAAAAATTATTTTCGCCCGCGCATATAATTACTTGAAATTAGTTGATCTTTGAATCTCTTTGTTGTTTCGTTTTTATTATCTTTTCGACGCATGGACGCATTTGTTTCGAGAGATTAATATCAATAATATTAAAAATATTGCTAGCCTTTTTATTGTAAATTAAATTAATTACCTTCCATTCTTTTTCGTTTAAACATTTTCGAATTGCATCATGTCTGTCGTATATATTAATCATGACTAAACATGCAAAGCTATATTTTTATTAATTTGATATTGCATAGCTGTTATTTCTTTATTAATTTTATTTTTAATCTTTTATTCCCTCATACATGTTAAATGTTTAAGAAAACATCAAATTATCACAGACATAATTCTATGTTATAATACACAAAGAAATGTTCGGTTTTCTAAGAATAAATGATCATGAAAGATGACGCATTTAAAATATTTGTATTTTTATTCGGGTATTTTTCTTCAGAAAATTTTACAAAAGAATTTATATTTTTATTTGGGTATAATTTACAAAAGATAAGGGCTAGGATTTTTCACAACAATAATTATTGTTTCAATTGGTCCCCAACAAAAGATGGTCATAAAATACTTCTCATAATCATAGTCATAAATAAACTGTAATCTTTCATTGTTGATTATTTATAGCATCATTTTTCAAATGTGAGATCTATTCAGAGACTCCAACAATTAACATTTACAATTATTTTACAATTATTTTTGGAATTATTTTTGGAAGAAAATTCAAAGTAAAAATCAAGATATTAAAAAAAATCCGTGTTTTTTTTTTCAAATTTTATTTTATTAAATAAATTTAATCTTATTATATGCGAGGGACGCGATTTAAATTTTTGATTTTGTCTATATACAATAATAATTATAAAAGAGTGTATGATGTGATTTTTAAGCGCGTTAATAATTTTAATATAAATATAAAATAAGATGAAATAATGGATTTAAAAAATGGATTGTTCTGACTATGTCGCATGATTATCGCGTATCTTAATTGTACATAAACAACTTAAACATTTCTAAACAAACGTTTTTTCTTAATTATAACTTAATCTTAATTATATATCTTAATCTTAATTATAATTTTCTTAATTATAAGAATGAAGAAATATGTTTTTTGCTCGCATATAAAAATTAATGATTTAATGATTGGGAAATATTGATCGCGTAATAATTAATAATGTAATGAAACTTACCATTTTCAGTTGGCGATGTCGATACCTTTGATGGTGGACTGTATCCATATGGCCCCAGATCGACCACTATCGTATCATCATCGGCCACATCTTCTTTTTGTTCATGCTCATAGTCTTCGCTATTATAAGTGGAATGCATTGTGTTGCCACTTTATAACAGAGGAAATACACATATTTATCACTTTATTACAAATTGAAGATTATAGCTTAAATTTTCGCGATATTTTTTCAATCAAAAGCGTAAAATGTTTAACACAAGAATTATATAGCTATTTATCTCCGCGATATTTTATCATCGGTATAGTGAACAATAACAATAATTTAATTAAACATTTTAGTCAATTGTTATGTTCTCGCACAGAAAAAAAGACATTCTGGTTTTGAAAATATATTTAGTCTTAACATGGAAATCTTGAAATGAGATTATATTGCGTTAATGAAAGAAAAATATAATTGCTTGAATAATTGCTTACTTGAATGAAGCCATTTTATTTAGTGCAATCAAGAAAAATATATATTTTTCTGATTTTTCGAAGATTTAAATTTTCATGAATGAAAAGGAAACAATGTTAGATATAAAATAACATTTTTAAATCAAATATTATAATTTTCTTAAAGTAGAATTAAATAATTATATATACTTGAGGTGACAATTACAATATTAAAATAAGACTAATATTGTTGAAATTTAAAATTATTAAATTTTTCTAAGAAGATTATAAATTGTTGCGTATATACGAGTCAATGAACACGTTAGTGTAAATATACAAATTTTGATTTAACACTTTTTTCTATAGGCGTATCATTTGATATAAGTCTATCGTATCGGAAAAGTAATATAATACACATTCACAAATTAAGACTTTATTATCGTCCTGTGCCTAGCAAAATAAACTTTTGAATGAAGATGACAAATCGATAGCACATTTGTACGTAAAAGACTATTTAGCATTTGTGAAGACAAGCCGAAAATTTACGCATAATTTATTGAAAGATGAGAAAAAATTATACAATATTGAGAGAAAAAAAGAGAGAGAAGCGTAGTAAAAGGATGCAAATGGATAACATCAGCACGCGAACGCTGACACGTGAGTGTTGGTGCCGGCAGGTGAAACATGAATTACACGCGTCGTGTATCTTTCAAATCAAATTCATACTTGGCACCAGGATAAGTTGCTCCCAAAACTCGTATAAGTGCAAAGAGATCTACTTTCAAATGTGTAATTCGGAAAATATTACACGTATGTCATCTTTTTGCGTACGCGAGAAAGTAACTTCGTTATCTCTACATTTATCACTTTACTCTTTTTATAAAAAATACATATAACTGACAAAGAGAGAGAGAAAGAGAAAGATATCTACCTGATAAATATCACTTTAATCACACTTATTGCAAATTTATAAATATATGCATTTCAATATCTCTTCTTCCTTGTATTTTTGTACAACACTCTCTAACGACACAGTCACGCAAAATGTCTTAAACTTGACTAAGAGATCACTAAAGCGTCCAGATATATATAGATCCACTTCCCCTACCAGGCTCTAGGTTCTCTGATTGGCGAGAGCTCTGGTCGTTGCGCTTACATCCCGTTGAACGAGGGGTGGAGCCTACCTGACACTCTGGTCTGGTGTGTGTACAGCTATAGTATAGACTAACAGTGCGGTCGGAAGCAGACAGGATCGGATTTAGTTGTTTCCATGACCCTAGACGCAACATTTTTTTAAAATGTCTCTAATAATTTGGACTTTGTATAATATATTGTAGAAATCGAAAGGCTCTCTGATTAACATTTGCCTTTATCTTAATCGGCGGTCGCGTATAAATTTGAGATATTCACGTACACATGTAAAAATTTATTCGATCAAATATTAATTAGAGAAAAATTAATCTATCATAAGCCTAATAAATAAATAAATAAATAAAATAATATCTAATATCTAATAAATAAATAAATAAATAAAATAATAATACCTAATAAATAAATAAAATAATAATACTTAATAAATTTATCATTTATTCTTGAAATATAGGAAGAAAATAAAAATGAACAAATTATTTTTCGTAATGTAACATAATTATTCGTGTGTTAACAATTTTTCACGCGAGAAGAAGAGTTCGCTGGACCTGGCTCGGTATTTTCGATACGAAATAATAATGATAATGAAATTTTACGCTTCGCATAAAAAATTAGCAGAGCTTATGCGGAATTATTATACATTTCATTTTGCATCAAAAGTAGTGGATGATGTTCGAGAAATCCTGCGTCGCGTAGAAAATTACAAATCCGGAACCGTTACAGATTTTGTCCCATTCTGAAGCATCACTATGAACTAACAATAAGAAACGGTTTCAGGAACGGTTCCGTGTGAAACCGTATTAAATTAAAGATTTTGTTTCTTTTTTTTCATTGATACACTTACTTCATTTGTCATAGCAAATGTAAATAATAATAGAAAACTAAAAAAAAAACAGAAATAAAAGTTGTAACATTTGCATAAGATAAATTATATGAAATCGATTGAAATATAAGCGAATATTAATACATCTCTATCTTTACATATATCAAATAAAATTCATTGGAAATATGCTAAAAAATATCAAACAATTACTTAATTATATTTTGTTCCTCTATTGCTACTAATTTTATTAATATTATTAATTAAATTAATTTAATTTTTTATTCAACTTTGTCACGTGATCGTAAATTTCACATAATTGAATTTGTTAAATTTCTACATAATTTCTACGCTGCATAATAGTTTTATTATATTTCAATGAATGTTTATTATATCAATCTATATGTGCATATTTATCATCTAATATTAAGATTGTGAAGTTTCTTTTTGCCATTTTCTAATAATGGCATTTAAGATATAATTTAGCTACGGGATCCCAGTTAAGAAATGTCTGGTAGAACGTCTTTATTCTGTTGAACAATGTAAACTCCGTAACTGTCATAAATCTTCAATATTATGTCCTTAAACTAGCCGAAGAATGGCAAAATGATTATATGACCATGTGCAAATGTAAAACTTTAGTCACCCTTTCTCTCGTTTATTTTTTTCTATTATTTGGTAGAAACATCTTTGAAAACTTGATTTTCAGGTAAAACCAGAAAAACTGTTGAATAGCAAAAAATTGAGAAAGACTGCTGACGGATCGGATATCATTCAGTATCTGATAATGTACTTTTGTGCAAAATTAATTTCGAATTGAATACATCTATATATTCATATAAATTCTTTGAAGAAATCTAAGAAAGATAGACATAGGTAGAGAGAGGGAAGAGATAAAAATATAATTCAAAAATCTCTCCCAAGACCAGAAAAATATATTGAAGTAAAATATTTCATAATAAAAATTACAATAGAATAATCTATTATAGCAAATGAGACAGTTATTTATGTGAGATCTTATATGATGATAAAAGTGATATTAAATATATGTAACTATATTTAATGTAATTAATCATGTTTATCCCCAACTAACTTCTCGCATTACGAGAATTTAACGAAAGGATTATATAATTATGCGCCATTTACACGTTCATAAAACAAAAAAAATTAAACTTTTTTTAAATTTATTATTAAATAAAAAAAAAAGGTTTCTTGAAGGGGAAGCCAACATGAATAAGGTAGCTAGTATGAGTTTTTCTTCCTATGTGTTAATAATAAATTATTCTGCAAAGAAAATCAGATTTATACGCTACAAAATTGGAGACGAAAATAACTCGTAAAGAAATTACGAGGAAAGCTATTAAGCTATCAGAGTGTGTTTTAGTTTTACCAATTTACTTCATTGCTTGCCATTGTCTTCTTTGTCGAAAACGGGATACCTCGTAAAAAACTGCTCTTATATGCCTAACATTCGTCGTGCAAATACTAGAGACTCCTTATGGTTCTTTATTTATACATAAAGTACCGCTCTTTTTTTAGAAAATATTTTTCGAATACCGTTTTTTTTCTTATTTTCGTTTTTTCCCTAAAATACAATGACTATCAAGGAACCTAGAACATGTTTTTTAAAACGGGAACTAAGGCATTTTTTTTTCTCCCGAGAGGAGGACCTTCAGCGAGAATTATTAGGTAACTAAAAATCTTTCTAAAGTAACTAACGGTATACTTTAAGATGGAACGACACTGCACTTTATTCATCACGTGCATGCTTAAATACACCCACATACATCGAGCAAAATTTAAAAAATTAGTAGATTATACCATTTTTAATTTTAATTTTTATTATCATGTATCTTCTGTATTTACACATGCAGCTTTTGCAGTTTATAAAGCTACATTATTTATGAAGCTTATTTAAAAAATTTCGTTTAAGCTTCTTTAAGCTCTTTTTGATAAATTCGCTTCATTGCTGTGATACTGATATGTATTAATATTGATAGATTTTATGAATTTCGCATTTTTCTCGTATTCAGAGAATTTCGCACTTGCTTCCCCTGTTTAGTTACGTCAGTGTACGCGGTTATGCGCATAAGGGAGGTGGAAACGGGGGAGAGGCGAGAGATAATTGGCGCGAACAGCTCGGCCAGATGTGGTCGCGATCATGCCGCTGATTAAACGGTTTGATTAAGCGACTAATTTACTCACATGCGCGATGTAACGTTACTTTATGCGAAATCTATAACGCCCTTCTCTTCCCCGTTCCGATCTGTCATACGAACGCACAACTCGCAAATCATGGGTATCATATGACGGGATATCAAATAGTAACCACGAGAATTCTCGGGAGGATTCGCGAAGAGGTTTGACGAAGTAATATGTTATTATGCTATTCAATTTTTTTTATTATTATCAGCATATCAATTAATTGTTATTTGATAAAAAGAAAGAGAGAAAGAGCTAAAGTTCTTTTTCGCTCAGACTTGACCAGTAATAATTTAAATTAATCTAATTTGCAGGTACATGATCTTTAATTTCAAAATCTTTAAATTTTGCTAACTATTAAATTATGTAATTATTTCTTCGAGCGAAACGTTTGAGCAAAAACTTTCGAAATTTATCTTGAGAACAACATTTGAATGGTTGCATCGTGATAAATCGAAATCTATTTATCAATTTCTTTTTGTTTGTAATTTTCCAAAGGTAATTCTCCAGTTTGTTAAAATGCTCTTCTATTATTATCAATTATAAATATATATCGCTATTTGTCGGTAAGATCACTATTTAGAGATACTAATTCTCTTTTTGTTAGCCGAAAGGGAAGCCATAAAAGTGTCTTTCCTTAATGCTTTTGCTAACGGTAACTTTCTTTCTTTTTAACAATTGAAAATAACAATAATTCAAGCATAAAATCTTAACAAAGGATCATCTGCCATGTTTTATTGATGCTATCGACATTATTACAGCTATTTTTATTATTATTAATGATAATCGCATTTTATTACATAAAATAAAAATGCGGCAATTTTACTTTGCTTTTTATATTTGATAACTTTTTAGAGAAAATATAAAAAAAATTTTTAGCCGCTTTTATTTTTCACGTGCGATAATTAAAAAGTTTTACATCAAGCTCTACGAGATACAAAAGACATCTTCTGTTCAACATGGACAGAGAATTCAATCATAACTAATGATTAAAATATAATCACGTATATGTAATTGATACAGTATTAAGTCGTAAACGTTTATTAGAAAGTAGAGTCTTCGATGAGGCAGCGTTTGATGCTATCCATTTGCGAATCATTCGTAATCAATTACTCGTACGAGCTCGCGAATTTACGGTTCTGCCGACTAGAACGGATATAACACAGAATATTTCATGCGATTAATTTGAGACACGCGACATAGCGCACAATTAAGCCAATTATTGGCGAATATCTGGACATTAGCGTATCACTCGCGTGTAGTGGAAAGTGGTTTATACCCTGCCAACGAAATGTGGTTTTAATAGACATCTCGATGGCTCTGTTACAATAGGGGAAGGGGAGAGGACTGTGTAAATAGCGACGAATCGCCATCACCAGTTATATATAGGGCCTTTTAACGATAAATTCTTGAATAAAGGCATTATTGGTATTTACTATAGCAGGACCATAGGGTGATTTTTTAGCATCCTAAATTTTCAGGCCAAATTACATCAAAAATTTTCATCCCAATCTCAAATAATAATAATAATATTAATATTAATAATAAGATATTAAATACACGTGACATTTTCTCGCGTTTAATTTAATTCAATTTAATTTTTGTAAAATGACGTAAGTTATCGATAATTTTATTTAATTTAATTTTTGTTAGGTTATCGATAATTAAATTAAATTAAATTTGTGTAAAATGACGTAGGTTATCGAAAGACCGATAAAAAAAGTCGGTAAATATGGTCGTCATGTGGATATACTTGAAAAGAGTCTCGTTGAGAGGGGACGTCTCGACGATTTTCTTATCTCTCTTACCGTACGACTCGCAGCTACTCGAGTCATCGAGCTTGTTGCTCGCGTTGGACGATTTCACGGATCC